TGGTATTTTTGTATATACATTTGAGCCTCCCTTAGGTCTGCGGGTAAATGCGCAGAGCTACAAAGCAAGGCCGTGCTGGTGTCGGCTGGGTTTGAATCTCGGTTCGGTCTAGGAATTTTTCTGGTTGGAAAGTGTGGGATTCGATGGGATTTAGCATACTAACGGTTTATTGACTCCTGGCTCCGTTTAAAGACCATTTAATAATGTAACTAAATTTGGAAGAGAGTAGGCGAGGAGGAGGATGTAGAGAAAGGATGGAACTGGGCTAGTAAAGTGAAATAACTTTGGGTCACTTTAAGAGTTCATTTAAATAGTTTTCATTTAGTGTGTGAACATGGGTATGAGGACAACCCTGTGACAGTGGGAAAATCAAAACAAAGCCTTTCGTTCAGAGACTTTCTCGGCTTTATTTCTCTCTCACTCTTCCTCGTTACCGAGAGACGGGCCTGGACAGCTTTCCGACGGTTCAGTCAAGCAGTTTTGAAAAAGATCTTAAAGTGTGAAGTTGAGTGATCACAAAATGCTGCGCAGGGATTACGGTCCTTTTCCAAATGGTGGAAATCACGACAATCAGGTCATGTGATGTCCAAACTTGCCGCAATTATAACAGTGTTGCCTTGATAAAGGACGATCGAATCGGCTCGCAAGGGGCAGTGGTATGAGTTTGATATCCCTGGTTGTGATGCATGGCCCCCATAAAAAAATTGACGGATGGGGAATTTCACTGTCGACCGGCGAAATCGGTTGTATACAAAAAAGGCCTATTAATAAACCGACAACGTCGGGATTAGTACACTACACAGCAAAAAAAAAATGTATTGCTGATTGCATCTGAAACTGTACTGTCCCAAAAATGCAAAAAGTGTGATAAAAGTGCACGTTTCCGTCAAATCGTTTTGATGTCTTCGGAGCACTTATTGCTTGCATCATAAGAAATAAGTGCACGGAAGACACCAAGACGATTAGACGTAAACTTGCAGTTTTAGCACACTTTTTAATAAGTGAAAACGCGCTAATTGATCATTTTAGATGGTCAAGTTTTGAAACCACCACAGCATGCTTTTGGCGCTACTGTATATGGACGATCAAATGTAAAATACTGTGGTAGCCACAGCATAGTTCTGTCAAAAACTCAGCATTTTCATTGATCCATTTGGTGTGAAACGCGCAATTATATTGATCAATGTAATTCAAGCTGATGTATGAAATAATGATGTATTAGCAAAAAGCAGATACAATATTACACCAATGGATGTAATTTTGTTCGCAAAATCGATGTACATCGTACACGGACAGAAAATTGTTTGCATTGAACTAAAAAAAAACTTTTGTTGTATTTAAACAAACAATTCCGGTTGAAATTATATTGCATTCTGTTGTTTTGATAATACTTATTCATAAAAATTCAAAATAGGATTCTTTTTGTTTTAATAAGCCACTTTTCAACTGCAACTATTGTAAAAATAAAAATTTCTATAATTAAGCCAACAACAGTTAATTTTAATTTAGCATTTATTTGCTGTTTCCATTCCCCGGGCCATGAATGCAAAAATAACTACCAACTATTCCCTCGTTTTCACCCGGACAAAAATGTAAACAATAAAAAAAACTTGTGAATTTCGGGAAATAAGTGCAAATTTTCCGAAAATCTTGAGACTTGAGGTAAGTAAGTATGCTGCAGTTCGAGCTGCAGTTGCTAAATATAATCCATTTTCTGTTTTTTTTCCTTGATTTTCTCCGTCGGTCTTGTTTTCTGTACTGAGTATCAATGCTCCCGACGCCAGGAAGGCAGCTCCCACACCTGAACCCTACATATCGACCCATCAACTAATGAACCGGGGACCAACGGCTATACTTCCCTTCCGAAGGATGATCAGTGAAAAAGAAAACAAAACATAAAAAAAATTGGCCATATTATTTTTGAATCAAGAAACATATTTTTATTTCTACTGCGTGAATTGTCAGACTTCATAAAATAAATATGATTGAATCAACAAGAAATCTCTTTTAAAAACAACATATTTTTGTTGTTGACCCAGCTGCCAAATTTGACAGCTTACGCCAAAACCATGAAAGTTCTTGTAAATTCGAAGCGATTTTCTTTTTGATTTAACAATCCAAGGAACAAAAATACTGGATTGTTGAAACAATAATGATTTCTTTTTGCAGCCAAAACAAAATGAAATTCTTATTGATTTTACGTCAAATATTATTACGTTTAAAATATTTTTTCTGTGTGTACAACGTTATATTACACAACCCTTACACATTGACCTGGTTGCAGCAGTTTGGATGTAATATTCAACAACTTTTTTTTCTGTGTGCAGCAGTTTCGATGTAATATTCAACAACTTTTTTTTTCTGTGTAGTTATTTTTTTTTTACATATTCGCTAATGTATTAAATCGGATACCGCAGGGACCGACAGCCATAGATTTTTTTTTTCCTTTGGTTTGTTTTTTCCGTCGATCTTGTTTTCCGTGCTGAGCACCAATGCTACCGACGTGCCAGGAAGGCAGCTCTCACAACTGGACCCTACCTATCGACTCATCAACTCATGAACCGGGGACCAACGGCTTTACTGCCCATCCGAAGGAAGGCGTGATCAGAGATGTTATGCCTCAGAACATCCCGGCGGCGCCGACTGGTATTGAACCCAGGCCTGCTGGGGTGAGAGGCAATCACGCTTACCACTACACCACCGGCGCCGTTAGCCATAGATTTTATCTATTGTAAAATCTGGCACTTTTATGTTTTTTATCGGTGTTTATTTTATTGTACGTACAGACGAAGTCGGTTTACGTAGTGATTATAAAATAGTGGCAGTTAGACTAAGTGAGTGCAAATTTATTATTAAATGTCATTAGAATCTGGTAAGTATAATAAGTATTAATATTTTTCAAGGAAATCTTACAATGACAAGCAAGTGGAGTACTTGGCTTAATAAGTATGTAGATTTAGTATGTTTTATTTGAAGAAACAATTGGGTTCTTTAATTTTTAAAAATATATCGGTTTTTATACATCATCGGAAAGGGTGTCGTTTTCTGAGCACAACGATATTTTTTTCGATCCAATTTACTTCCATCTCAATTTTTAAATTAAGATTTAGAGCAAAATAATCACTTCACTGTTTGACACAAAACTAACAAACTGACAGCTCGTTCCCATACGAAGTACCATCGAGGGCCGCTAAGATAGTGATTTTTGCTAATCACACTTATTTAAATAGTTCCAGGTCTCAAAAATTGATGAAATTTTGGATTTCGATTCCATTTGTAATGCAGATTACGAGTATGTAATTACCTCAATACCCAATTTAATTACCCGATTAATTAGTGTATTTCATCTGGTTTCATCAATTTCATATGCCGATTTAACAGTTGACTTAATCTTTTCCATAGTACAAATAACGGAATGAACCGATTATCCACTTTATTTCGTTTGGTTTCATCAATTTCGTATGCTGATTTATTTGTCCACTTAATCTGTTTCCATCGTTATTTCCATTTAATAAATTGATCAACCAGTTATTTCGTCTGGTTTCATAGAATCCCTGCTACAACTCTGTCATCCTACTAATCATTCGATTGGGTCGCTTCTGGTTGACTGATTTCCTTGTTTTCGACTACCGATTTCGTGTGTTGACGCGTCGTTAAGCAGTCCCATAAGAGTCGATGCAACAATTTATAAATACGTAGGTTTCATAGTCGGTCGATCTTACCGACGTGAACCGATTTAGTCAAAGGGAAAATCGGGAGGATTTTTTATGGGGGGTGTTGATAGTCTATATCTAATTTTGTTCGCAAAATCGATGTACATCGTACAACGTTATACATACACAACCGATGGATTGACCTGGTTGCAACAGTTTGGATGTAATATTCAACAACTTTTTTTTCTGTGTAGTTGTTGAGGAATACAACTCTAACAAATAGGTTGGTATCAATAAATACAGAATATTTCTGTATATCAGTAATAATTATTATCATTTTCATATTTTTTTAATATTCTTCCTGGAGGAAATGATTCATGGGCATTAGACTGCCAGCGAAAATGATTATTTTTAATTTCGCTAACAAACCATATACAAAATGTTTCATGCATTTTTAAGACATTTGGCATCAAATTTTTTTTTTGATTTCCGAAATTTCATGTACCCCCCCCCCCCTTGGGAGATTTTCGAGAGTGAAAAAAGTCAAACTTTGACGCGTTTGCGCCACCCCTAAATCATGTCCGATTGAGCTCAAATTTTGCATAGGGTCATTTTTCGAGGCAATAAACATTTTGAATATGGTTTGTTAGCGAAATTTGATGGTCAAATTTTTCCCATACATTCATTGGCAGTCTAATGGCATGCATTCGTTTCTATCGAAATGGGTAAGGATTACTCAGTTGACAATCTTACCCAGTTTCCTCCATAAGCACGTTTTCTCAAATTTGAGTAAAAGCATGTTTACTCATTTTTGGGTAACTTCCCTTTTGGCTGGACTGAGTGATTTTGGACTCAAAAATGAGTAGCCTCAAAATAGCGTGTATCACACCGACGATAACCGTTATAGTCAACTGTGGCTGTGGCTGGTGGTAACGCTTGACGGAAGGTGCAATTAGGGTGGGAATAGGGATGTTCAGGAAATGGATATATTCGATTTCAAATTCAATGGTTTTAATTCAATTCTGGAGACGAACCAGCCCTGGGCTGAAAGTCTCCTTAATAAAGATATAAAAAAAAATCAATTCAATTTTTAGCTTAACTAAGCTACTCATTAAAAACTTTAAATTAACATATTTACAAAATATCCCCTTAGGTCTTCGAAAACCTTAATCAATATGGTCAAAACTTTATATATAGGTATGTTTCGATAAAAAGTTGGCTGAACCATTCTCATTATGGTTTTCACAGCAAGATAAACCATTTTCAATGTGGTACGCGGGTATTGGACAGTTTTCCTTTAATTAATTCTACTGTAAAGCATTTTTTTAAATTAAAAATAAAACTAACCTGTTTTAGTAATATATCGAGCATCAAAATGCAGCAAGTGAGATTATGCTCAGCATCCGTTGAAAATTCGGTATGTCTTGAAATTGGTGCCTCATCATCTGAAATGGCGGATGTGTTACATGAGTCATCTTCTACCACTGGTGCTAAAATTATGGATACTAAAGTTAAAGGACAAATTTCCAGCTGAAAACTAATACACTTACAAATAGAACTTCTTCTAGGAGCTTGAAGTTCTCTTTCTCTGGTGATTTTGGAGCCAGCACTTTTACCAACTTTTGAATGAGATTCTGCTTGCATTCCATGTTTCATAATGCGAACTCCATCTCCAAACATGGCAAATAATTGTGACAACGGAATTAAAATTTCTAGCTTTGTTAAGTTTTGTAACCAATGCAATGCTTGTTGTTGAACTTTAGCAGTTGTTTTCTCGAAACGAATCGATACGAAGTTATACATTGCTTTAGCATCAAAACCCAGTGGTGACATTTCCGGATCTAAGATTTTACTTAGCACAACTTTTAACTCTGGTAATTCTTTTTCGGGAACATCGTTTGTAACTGCTTCCATCCAATGTGGCATTACGGTGTCCCATATCTGCTGGGTTATTATCTCATATGGTATTAGGCAAATCAACCGCTGTAATCCTTCCTTAAGATGTGACGTTCGTGAGGCAAGAGTATCCCAGTGCCCCCCAACCCTGGAATATTCTGGAGGATGTGGTAGAAGACAGTCGATAAATTCTTTATAATGACTCTCAGAAACATCCCTCAACCATCCGCAAACATGTTCAAGCTTAAGCTTCTCCAAAGTACTCTCAGCTTGACCATCATATGAATATGCAGTTATGTGGAACCAATGAAACAACATGGACAATAAACGTCCAAGAATTTCAATCGGAGTATCAGTCGTAGGTTTGCACCTGCCAACTAACAACCATATTCCATAACGACCAAGAAGCTGACGGTCCTCCAAGGTTAGAGTATCTTGAGTTCCATTTGTAGCATTGTTTTTAGAGTCACTAGAAAAATCCCTCCCGAAATCCAAATTTAATGGTTTTGCTTCTCTAAGAAGACTTATTACAGCTTCTACCATGTAGGTTTGCATTTCAGCGTCCATCATCATCATCGGTGGTAAGCTGCGATGAACGATGTGATCAATACCGCGTCTACTGTTGTGTCGGTTTCCATGACACTGTGCGCAGTATCTTATCGGGTGATTGCCGTTATAACTAGCACATTCGCTAGAAAAACAGATTGAGATAGCTGATTTATCGCTTGACCTACAATTCTATGGAGTAAATAAAAATAAAATTAGTCAGCTTGATTTTAATGTTGATTACATTCGTGCGCTTACCTTGTTCTCACATATCATTGATACTTGTTGCATGGGATGTAAAATGTCTCCAAATGAAAGATCCGGATGATCTCGGTGTATTTCATTAGCACATTCTATACACAGGTATAGTGGAGGAGGCGAGTCTACTGCATACAATATACTTATGCAATGATTGTAGCAAACCTTAACGGCTTCTGCATTTCCAGCATTTGGGCATGATTCTCGTTGACAAACAAATGGTACTAAATTATTTGTAAATTTGCATAGCAGTCCTTTTCGATCAAAAAGATTCGGATCAAAGGCGGGCCAATAGTAAAAGAGCAGTTTTGCTGCAGATGCACGACTAGCTGACGTACCATAAGCGACTACACAAAGCAGATCCTTTACAACGTTATGCTTAAGTCTCATCAAACTTTCTAGTAGTTGACAGTGATGCGCAGGATTATTAGAGTATTGAAATACCAGCATTATAACTGCAGACACTGACTGGCATGCATGACATTCTTGGTCATCATCACTTTGGCGAGCTGAAATATGGTTATATAAAATTAAACTATTTTTTTATTATCTTGTTAATAAAAAACTTACTGATGGTAAATGGTAATATGTAGTAACATAGATAGTTGATAATATCTTGATGCAACGAATATGGAAGTACAGATATACTAGAGGCTGCTAGATAAGGTAGATTATCAATCAAATCTTTATCTAAGAATGGAAGAATGCATCCGAGGCATTGTAGTAATGCTTTTCCGAATAAATTAAGTCCATTTTGAATACTTGACGCAACATCCAATAGCATAGTAAGTGCATTATACAGATTTTGATACTCTAGATTTGGATAGCTGGACATCCTTGCTTGGTCAAGCGATGGATCTTTGATCATTTCAAGAGGAGAGCATGGTACATCCTTCAGAACAGCTGTTGAAATGAAGATAAATAGATAAAATTGAACAGTATGCAACTATTATTTGAGTGTAACATCAGAACGTGCTACTGTTAGGATTCATTCTTGGGGGAGTATTGTTAAAGTACGATTGTGTAAGTTGGTTGTTTTTGTAGTTGTTCAGGGAAATGTAGCTATGGAAGGTATTTTCCTGATGGAAACATTACTTTGCAATCTCAGAGAGATAGAGTCGTCCCCTTCGTAATTGTGTTATATTTAACCAAGTTTTTCCCTCCCACGTGTGTAATTATTTTGCAAAATGTAATGAATATGTTGCTTGATATAAATATTTTATTTTAAAACTGTGTTTGTAAAATCATTACAACAGTGTTAGTGTTTAGCGAAAATTCATCGTACTTGGCTTCGTTGAACCACAGACAAACAGACGTAACTCTTCATTGTGTATCTTCGTTCACGCATTTAACGGTTGATTTTAATATTATCAGTTCCACGAACTACTCGCCGCAGCGCTGGAATCGGATCACTTTGACGTTTCTATACATTCTATAGAAGTTTTATGCAATATTGTTTGCGAGTTAGCGAGCAAGCTTGTTTTCCGCGAGAAGCCCGAGAGATGTCGTTACTGAGGTCCTATGTTTTGAGATACTATGCTTTCAAGAAAACCTTTTTCAAGAGTTACGTCTGTTTGTCTGTGGTTGTACAGTACTCTCCATTTCTCGATGATCTTTATTTCGAAATTCCTTCCTATCTGAATCGTTTCAGCAACCCTGATCCTGATTCATCAACACTTTTTGAGCACGAAGTGTTTAGAATCGTATTAATAATCTTATAAATTGCTCTTTTGATTGTCGATTTCTCCATATTTAGGTGGTGGAAATTTGAATCTATCACTAAGATGTGCTCGTTTCCTCGCTGCTGGCGTGCAATAGGACCAGTACTAAGTAACCAACGGATTTCTACACTACATGGCATATAAGATCGACTCAAATTAAAGTTTAAATTACTCTAATTGGGAATCGCACCGAAAAATCACATGAACCTTATATTGCGCATTTCACACCAAATTGGACTAATAAGCACGTGTGATAAAATTGCAAGTTTACGTCTAATCGTCTTGGTGTCTTCCGTGGACTTATTCCTTATTATGCAAGCAATAAGTGCTCCCAGGACATCAAAACGATTTGACGGAAATGTGCACTTCTATCAAACTTTTTGCATTTTTGGGACAGTCCAGTTTCAGATGCAATCATCAATATGTCAAATGAAATTTAAGTGATTTATCATATAGAACTCATGTGAACGCATGAATGTAATGTGAAATTCAGATAAATATAATTGGTTTTGTTAATGGAAAAATGTAATGTGCACTCCCAATGGAAACTACATGAAAACTTTTGCCGTCTAATAATTTCATATGTTCACTGAAAAAAGTTTTCGCTTAGTTTCTATTAGGAACGCACATATTATTTTTCCAATATCAAAAATAATGATTTTAATCTGAATATCACATAACATAAGAAATTCTATGTGTGTAATTATATAGATTTCATTGGACACATAAACGTTCATGTGATTTAGTAGCTTACTTTCCAATTATAGGATCATATGAAAGTGATGTGAAATTCACATGGATATTTTCCACTGGTTATATGATTTATTTTATGGGTGTACATCGAGATGATGCTCTTATTAGAAAACAAATTCCTGTAATTATAAAATTCGTAAAGTTTTACTCAGTCTATGAGTTAACTACGTTGTCAAGAATATGAGCAGTGTTGGCAAAATCATCAACCAAATAATGTTTTTCCGCTCTCATACGCTTTCAATATTACACGTGATATTGGAGCAAAATATCATGGTTGATATTGATTCAACACAGTGTTCACTCGGCTGTCGACAAAAGCAGGCCACTCTCGATGTGTGCTACGCGATCGTCTGTTTTCTCGGCAGCAACCATTGTGTGGTCCTCCTCATTGTTCTTCATCAGCAGTTCTTTCGGTCGATGCGTCGTCGACTTTGGAAATCAACCGTTTCGTGATGAGTGTGTGAGTGCTGACCACGTTTTGCGTCCATTGCTGCAATGGACGCGCTCTGACCCTCGTTGGCGTACAACAATTTGCCATACAATGAAACTACTAGAAGCGGCTCCAGTTCTGATCGAGGAGGCTTTTTGGAAAGCGGAAGATAAAGTGTTTATTGTGTTGTACCTTTTGACTATAGTTTTAAGATGTATTGTATAGTGACCAAGAATCCTCGGCTCTGTAAAGTTAATTCGGTTGAGCCTTATCAAATAAATTAATAAACAAAAAAAAAATTGATTCAACAAATTCCTTTGATGTTGCGAGACTATTCACAACGTCCAAAATTCAAGTTGAGAGCTGACTCGACACAAAAATGATTCCATTTCACATCGTTTTCTTAGAAAAAGAAAGTCAAGGGGCAAGACAGCTACTAATCATGAGCAATTTCAGAGTTGCTTTTGAGGCACCTCGAGTAACTCACATTGCTCAGTGAGCAAGATCGCTGGCATTTGCTTTCTCACTTTTCGCATCACAGCAATATTTGAAGGTGCACCTTCATGCGAAGCCGAAAAGCTGCTGTCAAACAAAACAACAATAAAAGCGGAACTTGGAGACATTTAAATCATATCAGTTTAATAACCTTCGTTCGACCGTTACCAACCGTGAACGTGAAAGGAACCTGTTGCAACCTTACACTTACGACGGTCGAATGGTTCTCTGGTTGATGTGGTAGAAAAACTCAATCTGCCTGACCAAATACTCAAAATCGATACTCGTCGAAGCAATTCCGTCCCATCGCTTGACAAACTGCCGTTGGATGGAACTGTGAACCGAGCTCTGAATTATCACGGCGCCATTCTGCTTACGGGGGACATCCATCCCCGCTTTCGGTGCTTTTTCTGGGCCTTCCGGATGGTCGTGATTCGCCCCCGTTCTTGCTATACACCACCGAGATTTTTCTGCGGCCGTTGACCGAAGTCTCCAGGAAAAAGTCGAGCAAGAGAATCTGTCAGCTTGATTTTTGCTTCGTCTTCCTGACGGGTTTTCACTTCGGTTTCGTACAGTAGATCGTTAATGGGGTTTGAAGTTCAAACGAGGATCGCACTCACCGGAAACAGCAGCTACTTCATCGTCATCTTCCTCTTCGGCTTCGGCAGTAGCACCGGCTGCACTGATGCTCTGGCTGAACATTCCACGGGGTAATGGCTTGTAGCGTTGCCTTCGGCACTGGAATTGGGTGTTAATCGGTTGTTGCCCCACCGGGGAGATGATTTCTAAACCAGAAACTGTGGCGGCGGGTGCAGTTGGAGGGGCCATGGTTGAAATATTACTCACTACGCTATGTTTGCCATGTTGCCAACGGGAATGTTAGTCGAAAGGGGATCAGAGTTAGTTATTACCACATTGACTGGTGATGCCTTTTCCAATGGGACTGCTGTAACGACCGGAGAAATCGAAGATGATGGGATCGCTTCATTATAGGTGAAATTTCAGATGTTTAGAAGAATATTGGAGAGCTTTTTTGATCGGAGATGATCCTTTCGGAGTGACGACTGGGACTGGTTGCTGAGAAGGAAGCTTATAGTTATTGGTAGTAAGCAGGCACTAGCAAAGGTTCTTCCATAATATTCCAGTTATCCGAAAGGCTCAGAATACACTTGGGATTACTTTATTTACAAACAAAACTGACGTCTAATATGAGACGCATATGCTTAAAAAGAGGAATCGGAGTAGGCAGAGAAAATATTGAGGTACATTGAGTTACTCGCTGCAAAAAAAGCAACTCAGAATAAACCTGTCTCACCCCTTGGAGAAAGTATAGTTTGCTATCTCTTTTTAATCTTCGCCGATGGCAAACACGAAGGGACTGCTGGCAGTCGTTATGAAAGTGTCGGTTGCGATGTAAAGCAAAAATCATGACACTCAATCTCAACATAGTTTGGAGAGATTTGCAGCTGGTCAGTTGATATATATATATATATATATTGCAAAATCAACCGCAGTTGTTTGCTTGTTGATTTTTGTCTACGAAAATCAACCGTGATCTTGGGCATTGGCATTGGTGAGATTGGATCTTATGATATTTTTCCAACACTGAATATGAGTGAATTAATCTCAACGTGGAGTTTTCTCATCTATTTCATGGCAACAAACCCCCCCCCCCCCCCCCCCCCGTCAAACGCAAAACTTCTGCTAGTTTTATGCAGCCGAATTACAGACATTTTTGAAATTCACAGACATATTTCGCAGACTTCTGAAAAAAGAATGTGGCATCTCTGATTCCATCAGATAGTCTATTCCTAGGCGGACACCCTGGCTGCACAAGAATATCACCAACCACTCTGTACAAGGAAGTACAGCCAGGAACAGTTAACTGCATTTCCATGGTACACGCAGAAAAAAATATTTTAAATGTAATAATATTTGACGTGAAAAAAAATTTTCCGCTATTAAGTTTTTTTTTTTTCGATGAAAACATTTTGCGTATACGTATACGTGACGTAGTGTGCGTACGACAAACGCAATCTCTATTGTTTCAACAATCCAGTATTTTTGTTACTCAAAACCCATGGATTTTTAAATCAAAAAGAAAATCTTCTAGGATTTACTAGAGCTTTCATGGTTTTGACGTAAGCTATCAAATTTGGCAGCTGAGTCAACAACAAAAATATGTTTGTTTTTAAAAGAAATTTCTTGTTGATTCAATCATATTTATTTTATGAACTCTGAAAATTCACGCAGTAGAATTAAAAATATGTTTCATATTATTTGGCCAATTTTTTTTATGTTTTGTTTTTTTTTTTTTCACTGATCACGGGAAGTAAATCCGTTGGTCCCCGGTTCATTAGTTGATGGGTCGATACGTAGGGTCCAGGCGAGGGTCCAGGTGTGGGAGCTGCCTTCCTGGCGTCGGAAGCATTGGTACTCAGTATGGTCTCATTGACTTCGTTCCGTAGCTTATTAACTAAAGTATCGTACCAAACGCATAATTG